ACTGTATCATACAGTATGGTAAGCACTGAAAAACTTACACTGTAGCCCATTAATTAGCAAAAATTGCAGTCCTTGTAAGAAAATTTTAACACAATTTGAATCAAGTATAAGCTTATACATATTAAAAGTAGAAACAATTAAGAACCTATTTAAGAACCTTTTGAGCCTAATTTTTCAGTAAGCACCTTGTATATAAGAACATATTGAGGCTAACTTGGAAAAATCTATGTTCTTATACGCGGGTTTTTACTGTATATATAATTATATATAACATATAATATATATAGGGCAGTGTTGTAGATCTCGAGGCCGGGCTTGGCCTTAGGACCGTTTTCCTTGGTCTCGGTCTCGGTCTTGGCCTCGGAGTGCAATGACTCGGACTCGAGCCCTCCGGACTCGAGGACTCGGGTCGAGGCCGGCTCGAGGCCACTATATACATAGTACACAACTGTACAAATTGTAACACGCAGTTTACAAGAATTTAAAACTAAAACTCCTAGGTTTTCTAGATACACGGCCTAATCTTGTAACGTTTTCAATGGCTCGATTAAGATTCTTGTCCCTAATTTGGTTTGAACCTGCTGTCACTTCGTCCCTTTGGGCTTTTTTAACCACTTCTTTCTCTTCTACTACCACTTCGAAGGTACTAGCACTCTCTCATTTGGTTCAACAAGCCGTGTCATTCTTGTAAAACACAAATGGATCCGTTACTTTGACACGTTTCGTATGACTCGTGTCTCTGTGTTTTCGGCTGACTATACACTTTCGAATGTCTACGATGCACTGTTGCGATTTTTTCCCTTTTTCCACTTTTCCCCCTTTTTTCCCCGATTTTTTAATTTTTCCGATTTTTTCCCTTTTTATCAAAACTGGACTTGGACTCGGTCTCGGACTCGGGTGGTGTGGACTCGGACTCGAACTCGGGTGGCGCGGACTCGGACTCGGACTCGACTACAACACTGATATAGGGTTATAGGGTTAGGGTTAGTCAGAAATAGCTAAACGAGCCAAGTCAAACAGAGGTCAGGGGGA